TATCCTTCCTCCAAGTGTGGTTAAGGAGGTGGATAGAAAATGTAGAGATTTCTTACGGAGTAGCACAAAAGAGAAAGTAAAGTAGCATTGGTAGCATGGAATAGAGTCTGTCAAGCTAAAAAAAATGGAAGGGGGCGGGGGGGGGGGGGTCTGAATATAAAAAGTTGCAAGATATGGAACTATGTTGTGGTGGGTAAACTAATTTGGGTACTCATAACTCAGAAAGAAGCTCTTCTGATTAAGTGGGTAGATGGAATCTATCTAAAAAATCATGAATATTTTTGGGTAAATACACCACCAAATAATAGTAGTTGGTACTGAAAGGCCCTAAATAAACTGAAACTAGGTACGAAAAATTGGTATCATCAGGATAGATACACTTTGACATTTGATGGAGGATATTTGAGGACACAGGCCCTAAATAAATGAAGTTAGTTGTGTTGGCGGTAATATATATTCATAGTTTATTGCCAAAAAACAGGAATTTGGTATTTTCCGTTCTAGGCTTTGTTTGAACTTGAAAATATAGAAGATTTCCCCTCTGGAGCGACCCACACCATTAATAAGGTCGTCACGGATGCAAATCAACAATTTGTCTTAAACCACATCAGGATCACATATAACCCAAAATTCATGGACTATAGCACATGTAAAATGAGAAATTTAGTATTTCCCTTCTGGGCCTCGTTTGAATTTGAAATATAGACGCTTTCCGCTTCGAACCAAGCCACGCCATTAATAAGGTCGTCACGATCAGCCACAAAAATTTTTGGACAAATAAACGGTGGGATCACACTCATAACGTTTTTTAAGAAAAATATTTTGGGTGGTTCATGACGACAGATCCATGTGCTAATATACACGATTAAATCGAAAAAATTGTATTTCCCGCATTGTGCCTCATTTAAATTTGAAAATGATGATGTTTACCCCTCCAAACCAACACACCATTTAAAGGTAAATGATTTACGTTTTTTTTTTCATCCAAGCAATATTATCTAATATTTTTCTTGTTCTAAATGTACATAATTTACATTTTTCCATTCTAGCACATCACTTCATATTGAAGTAGAGGACGTTTAATCCTACAAATATTACTCAAATTGTCCATATAATTCAAAAATGGAAAAATTACGAATGTGACCACTCTAAATCAAATAAAATTTTAAGAATATAATTAAAAATATCCTATCTTTAAAGCGGAGTAATATATTAAACGAAAATTAGAAGATACTTGAATGGAAAAAACGTAACTCATCTACCTTTAAAATTGAAAAAAAAAATTAAAAATGCAACTTGAATGGAAAATCGTAACTCATGTACCTTTAAAATTGGAGTTAAAATATATTTTAAGGATTGTAAATCTCTATGAAAAAAACATTATAAGAAATTCATTTATATATTTAACTTAACCACGTAATAAAAATAAATATCGTCACCTATAAAGTGCGCAAATTTCTTGACAAAGTTTCTCAAACCTATTTTGTCAAGCCATATCATTCACAAAACAATTTTGTAGTGGCACAAATTAATATTATGCACCGACAGAAGACTCAACAGAAGGTGATAATATCTAAAGCAAAACGCTTTGTAGCTTTCGAAAGGCTATGGGCAAGTGTTGTTAATGAAGCACACGAACTTTCTATTAGAACAGAAGCACATGTCGCTATTGTCGCTTATTCCCAGTGCTGCATATCATATGTTTATGATTCCTCCAACTGCTTTGACACAATAACTAAGTTCCTCATTGATGTGAAGGCTTCTGCAGTCAAATGGGGTCATTGATTTGATTTCCTTTAGATAAGGATTTATCTATTTGTTTTATCATATTTAGTATTAGTTAAGAGAAATGATCACTCATAAACTCGGTGATAATTTCTCTTAACTAATACTAAATAATATAAAAAGAAATAGATAAATCCTTTCCTAAATCCAATCAAATCAATGACCCCCTTTGACTGCAAAAGGTTTCACATAATTGAGGAATTTATTGTGTCAAAGCTATTGGAGGAATCATAAACATATGGTATGCCACCCGGGGAATTAGAGACAATAGCTACGTGTGCTTCTGTTGTAATAGAAAGTTTGTGTGCTTACTTGACATCACTTGCCCATATCTTTTTGAAAGCTACAAAGCGTTTTGCTTTAGATATTATCACCTTCTATTGAGTCTTTTTTCGGTGCATAATATTAATTTGTGTCATTAAAAAAGTGTTTGGTGAATGAAGATGGCTTAACAGAATAGGTTTGAGAAACTTTGTGAAGAAATTTGCGCACTTTATAGGTGATGATATTTACTTTTATTTCCTGGTTAAGTTAAGTAAATAAATGAATTTCCTATTATGTATTTTTCTTAAAGATTTGCAATCCTTAAAATATATTTTGACTCGAATTTAAATGGTACATGAGTTACATTTTTTTCCACTCAAGTTACATTTTTTAATTTTTATTCCAATTTTAAAGGTACATGAGTTACATTTTTTCCATTCAAGTATCTTCTAAATTTCCTTTAATAGATTAATGCACTTTGAAGGTAATACATTTTTATTTATATTCTTAAAAACTTTATTTGATTTGGAGTAGGCACATTCATAATTTTTCCATTTTTGAATTAGATGGACAATTATAGTAATATTTGTAGGATTTTATGTCCTCTACTTCAATAAAAAGTGATGTGCTAGAATTGAAAAAATGTAAATCATGTATATTTAGAGCTAGAGTAAAATTAGATGATATAACTTGGATAGAAAAAACGTAAATCATTTACCTTCAAACTATAATGGGCTTGTCCAGAAATAATCTCTTTCCATATTATGCATATGCAAGTACAAGCTCAATATATGTTATTTTATTTGTTTCAATTTATATGTTACATCCTGAAGTTGACCAAAAACTCATTTTTTTCCATACTTAGCTAAATTTCCAGATTGTGAATTCTTTCCAAAAATGACTATTTCCAATTCTAAGCTTCTTCATAGCTATTTCAAATTGCCGGATGTTACATTAAGAGAGTTCATTAAATTTGTACATAACTTTAAAATATTTTGAGTTGTTAATTATTCTGATTTATAGGACTATTGACATAATTATAAAGAATATATATGTTACTCTCTCTGTCTTAATTTGTGTGACATATTCTAAATTTTGAAAATCACCAAATTTTGATATGTTTGTAATTGTTAATTATTGTCATTTATAGTACTCATGATTTTGAAATAACATATATGTTATTTGCAGTGCACAAATATTGGGCTTTAGTATTTATCCTTCCTCCAAGTGTGGTTAAGGAGGTGGATAGAAAATGTAGAGATTTCTTACGGAGTAGCACAAAAGAGAAAGTAAAGTAGCATTGGTAGCATGGAATAGAGTCTGTCAAACTAAAAAAAATGGAGAGGGGGGGGGGGGGTCTGAATATAAAAAGTTGCAAGATATGGAACTATGTTGTGGTGGGTAAACTAATTTGGGTACTCATAACTCAGAAACACTACAACAAAAAGGCTTATTAAAGACCAAAATATAGTGACAAGTTATAAATATGGTCCCTAAAATATACTTATAAGGATGATATTATTTACTAGTCTCTATTTGACTATATTATTTTCTAATAACAAATAAACTTGTCCCTAAATGAAATTTTCAGCGGGAACTACAAGGAAGAGCGGGAACTAAAAGGCTCTAAAAAAATTTCTCTCTCTATAGTTATAACCTAAAACCCCCAAATCCATTGATAAAGCTATTAGATATTTCTCTCTCTCTAGCAATATGCCAAAATCGCTGTGCATAGCTCTGAAGTCTCCTTACTCTTGAATCTTGAAGGCATTATTGGCAGAAAAATCTCCTAAATCTTGAAGCTTGAAGGCATTATTGGAAGAAAAATGTTTCACCTACAACTTGTATCTACATCTAAAGTAAGTTTATTCCTCCTGATTCATCTCCCCCTTCTTCTTTTTCTGTAAATCTGCCATTTTTCTTTCTGCTGGTCGAATTTTATGTGATTGGGCTCTTATAGATACTCATTGTTATTGTGTAAGGACTGAAAATGATAGTTTTATAGTTAAGGCTTGGGGTTGAGGTTCAAAGAGGAGATATTTGAGAGTTTATTTAAGATTTTCTCTGTTAGGGTTGTATAATTGCTAGGGCTGCCAAGAAATTTTGGTAAGGCTGGCATTGCAAAAAAAAATTCCATCAGGTGATGAATATGTAGAATATTTTTACCATTAGTGTCTTTAATTCAGTTCCCAGTTTATGTGCTTTGAATTTGAATGGGTTTTTTTATTGTATAACTATTGTATTCAATTTTTAAGTATAATGTGACACTAAAAAGATTAGACGAGAAAGAAACGAAATTGTGAATGAGCATTGATAAAGCATTTGATTGTAGTTTCCTTTTTGTGGTGTTTCAAATGTTGTTTTAATTGTTATTTTCTACTACAACTAGTGTTGCATATTGGTTTCTAAAGTTACTACTTGTGGCGCATTTTTGAAATCTTATGCTACATGGAAATTTGTGGTTGTTTGTCATTGTTGTTTTGGTGGTTGTTGTTTTCAATTAGATGCTATATGTTTTATTGAAATTGTTTGGATCCTCGTGTAGTTTGATAAAAAAAAATTGTTGGAGAAGTTGTTGATAAGTTTAGCTTTGTGAAACATGAAAAAGGTCATTAGTTCACGTGGATGTCTCATAATATAGTTTAACTCGCAGTGTGTAGTGTTCTGTACTATATTATGCGACATCCACGTGGATGTCTGCGAGTTAAACTTGTCGTCTTTATTTGAAGTTCAGTAGTAGGTTTAGGATGTCGCATCTGTTAAGACCTTTTAGTTTTATTATATATAGCAGCACATATTCAATTAAAAGAAAAGATGTTATTAGTCCATTTTAGATATTTATTTTTTAATTATTAGGATGATTGACTAGTTTAATAGAAAGTAATGTTCATCTTAGTAAATTTGTTATCCTAAAGTATGATTGATCTAACTCTTATATATAATCCAAGGTTATGGCACCAAGTAAGCAATGGATGCAACTTGTTGATGATCGACTTAATGAGGCCTACTTTATCGGGGTGGAAAATTTTTTGAATTATGCTTTTCAAAGGACAGGAGAAATGTATGAAATACGATGTCCGTGTGTTAAATGTTGTAATACCACATTAGGAACACGTGAGACAGTTAGAACACATTTGAAAGTATATGGAATAATTAAAAATTATACCTTTTGGTATCATCATGGGGAAGTCTTAGGTGAGCCAGAATCACAATGTGAAGATGGAGATGATAATGAAGTAGAAAATTGTGAGAATGAGGATGAAATACGAGAAATTTTGAGAGATTTCTATCCTAATCATTATGGACACACTTTAGATGTTCATTGTGATGATTCACTTGAAGAGGAACCAAATGTTGAAGCCAAAAAGTTTTATAGCCTATTGGGAGACTTTGAGAAGCCACTGTATCAAGGTTCAAAAATTTCGAAACTTTCAACTTTGATTAAGTTGCTTCACATAAAAAGTATGGGTCGTTGGAGTAATGAGTCATTTACAATGTTGTTAAAAATGTTAAAAGAGGAGTTGTTGCCAGATGAAGCCGATTTGCCAAATACATATTACGGGGCAAAGAAGGTAATTCGAAATCTTGGGCTTTCCTACGAAAGAATTGATGCTTGTAGAAATGATTGCATGTTATATTGGAAGGAGGATAACTTACTTGATTCTTGTAAAGTTTGTGGTGAATCTAGATGGAAAGTTGATAAACGTAACGGGGAAGAAAAGAACAAAAAAGGTAAAAAGATTGCATCAAAGATTTTACGCTATTTTCCATTAAAACCTAGGCTTCAAAGGTTATTTATATCTTCAAAGACATCTTCTCTAATGACATGGCATCATGGTGAAAGAGTTGATGATGGAATAATGAGGCACCCAGCTGATTCAATGGCATGGAAATCATTTGATGAACTTCATCCTTCATTTGCAGCCGAGCCTCGTAATGTTCGACTTGGACTTGCGAGTGATGGTTTTCAACCATTTCGGAATGCAAAAACCTCATATAGCATTTGGCCGGTGGTACTTATTCCTTATAACTTACCACCTTGGTTGTGTATGAAACAAGAAAACTTTATCATGTCCATGCTTATTCCTGGTCCAGATAGTCCAGGTGATGCAATTGACACATATCTTCAACCTTTAGTAGAAGAATTGAAGGAGCTATGGAATATTGGTATTGAGACCTTTGATGCATCAACCAAACAGAATTTTAAGCTATATGCTTCTTTGTTATAGACCATCAATGACTTTCCAGCATATGGAAATTTATCTGGATGGAGTACCAAAGGAAAATTGGCATGCCCATGTTGCAACAAAGATACTTCCTCAATCAGATTGACCAATTGTAAGAAAGAAAGTTTTATGGGTCATCGTCGTTATCTTCCTCGTAATCACAAATGGAGGAATGAAAAGAAGTCCTTTGATGGTACAGAAGAGAAGACGCTCCCACCGAAAAAACGTTCTGGTATTGAGATTCTTCATCAAGTTCAAGATCTTGAAGGGTTACAGTTAACAAAGGAACCAAAGAAAAGAATCAAAATATCACATGATAGTCGAAAAGATAATTGGAATAAGAAGAGTATCTTTTTTGAACTTCCATATTGGGAGTCTCTTTTGTTGCTACATAATTTGGATGTTATGCATATTGAGAAAAATATATGTGATAATATTTTGGGGACAATTATGAATGCCAAAGGAAAGACCAAGGACACTATTAATACTCGGCTAGATTTGAAAGAAATGAATATAAGGCCGGAGTTGCACCCTATCCAGAAAGGTGAAAAATATGAAGTTCCAACTGCATGTTACACCTTATCTCCACAGGAAAAGCACAATTTCTGCCTGTTTTTGAAGAATTTAAAGGTTCCAGATGGATTTTCATCCAACATTTCTCAGTGTGTTAACTTGAAAGATCACAAAATTTCTGGTTTAAAGAGTCATGATTGCCATGTTATTCTCCAACATTTACTCCCTCTTGCACTACATGGTATGTTGTCCAAAGAAGTGTGTGAGCCACTAATTGAATTGTCTTTATTTTTTAATATGATTGGAGCTAAGTTATTAAGGATTGATGACTTGGAGCAGGTTGAGGCTCAAATTCCTATAACACTTTGCAAGTTAGAAAAGGTATTTCCGCCTTCATTTTTTGATGTCATGGTGCACTTGCCTATTCACTTAGCTAATGAAGCTATGCTTGGTGGACCTGTCCAGTATCGATGGATGTATCCCATAGAACGATGGTTATATTTTTTGAAATCTCTCATTGGTAATAGGGCTTGGCCAGAAGGTTGTATTGCAGAGGGTTACATTGCAAAGGAATGTATGAATTTATGTTCAAGATATCTGCATACAATTGACACAAAATTTAATAGGCCAGAACGAAACGATGATGGTGGTTTGAAAAAATCTGATGGAGGATTATCTCTATTTTGTCAATCTGGAAAAACATTGGGGGCTCCAAAACAGTGTGATCTTGAAGCAAATGAATTAGAGCAAGCACATATCTACATACTGAAGAATTGCGATGAAGTTCTACCATTTCTAGAGTATGATTTTTTTCTACATATCATACTTCATTGCCTTGTTTCTTTAGGATTATTTTTTTGTATGACATTTGTGGTTCAATTTAAATTTGTAGAGAGTTTGCACAAATTCATGTAGATTCTACTCAACACTTGTCTGATGATGAATGGAATAGACAATTTATTGAATGGTTTCAAGATAAGGTGAGTAATATATACACATCAAATTTGGAAATCTAATATTGAGTTACTCATTTAGAAGTGATCAATTTTATCTTGTTGATAGGTTGCACAATTGCATAAAGAAGATGATAGTCGGATCATGGAAGATCTCCTTGCACTTTCATGTGGTCCTACTAAATATGTATTACATTATAATGGTTACATTGTCAATGGATATAGATTCCATGCAGAAGCTTATGATAAAAATTTAAGGACTCAAAATTGTGGTGTGGCTGTCGTTGGTGAAACTGATAAACATAGTGACAACATTGATTACTATGGAGTTTTAACTGATGTTCTTGAATTGCAATTCACGGATAGAAGAGTTGTTTTGTTTGAATGCAAATGGTTTGATGCATATGATAAGACAAAAGGAGTGAAAATAGATGAGTATGGCATTGTAAGTGTAAATTGGGGGCGATTTTTGAAAATAAATGAGCCTTTTGTATTAGCTGATCAAGCCTCTCAAGTATTTTATGCTAATGATAATTCCAATAGAGGTTGGTGTGTAGCGAGAAAGGTACAACCTCGTGATTCCTATGAAATTGTGCAACAAAAGGACAATGAATTTGAAGATTTAGAAAATTCTTCACAAAATAAATGAAAAAGAATGATTGAGGTGAAGTATCTCCTTAAGCTTTAGCATATTCATTATTATACATTTTGATACATGATTTTTGTTAGTACATTATTTTTATAGTGTCTTCATTTTTTTTGCCAAGTATATGATTTTTAGAATGTTTTTTCATTTTTTTTTGTTAACACATTATCTTTGTTTTTTGTTAGGTTTGATATGAAACCATCCAAGGATGAAAATCAGGTGGCATCTAGGGTGAAAGCTACTACTAAATATGCATGTGTGCCACCGGGTGCTATAGGAAAGGGACGAGGAAGAGGGCTTAAATCTATGTTGTCTTTAGGGGTGTCAAGAACTGATATTCCATTTTCGCCATCTACTGATCAAGTTATGCAGTACAATCAATTTACTGAAACAAGTATGGGTTTTTATTTTTATTTGTGTTATTAATTTGTACGAGGAATTTTAATACTAATTTTTTATTATCGATTTTCTTATACTAGGTGTGGTTGCAAAGGGACGAGGAAAAGGTCTTAGATCTATGTCTAATGCTCAAGGAGTGCGAACAATGAACAAAACTTACTTGAGTGTTGAGAAAGGACATATTCCATCTTTTTCATCTACTGATGAACTTATGCAATACATCAAAACAAATTCATCAAGTATGATTCTACAATATATTGTGTTTTAGAATTGCATTTAATTTATTGTTAATGTTTATCTGATATGATTTCTTGCACTAGGTGCTCAAGGGAAGTATCAAGGGCTTAAATCTATGTGCTCAATTGAAGATTCTGAAAATGAGGGGAGATCTTTCAATCAAAATTATCGTTATGTTAGTCAAAATATGTCAAGACCTTCTGCTGATCAAGGATGGCGAACAATGAATAAAAAGTTTTTGGCTTTTGAGAAAGAGCATATGCAAGCTGATGTTCCAATTTCTCTTTCTACTGATGATGTTATGGAGTCCCCCCCAACATTTGAAACAAGTATGATTTCTTAAATTTTTTTCTTTTTCAGAATTGAATTTAATTTGATTCAAGTACTTTTACTGATACAATTTCTTGCATTAGGTTTCTCTCAAGGATTGCGAACAATGAATAAAAAGTTTTTGGCTTTTGAGAAAGAGCATATGCAAACTGATGTTGCATTTTCTCTTTCTACTGATGATGCTATGGAGTCTACCCCAACATTTGAAACAAGTATGATTTCTTAATTTTTTTTCTTTTTCAGAATTTAATTTAATTTAATTTAATTCAAGTATTTTTACTGATATAATTTCTTGCATTAGGTTTATCTCAAGGATTAAGAAAAACAAATAAAGCTTCCTTGGCTCATGAGAAAGAGCGTTTGCATTCTGATATTCCAATTTCTCCTATTGATCAAGTTAAACAGTCTACCCAAACAGCTGAAACAAGTATGCTTTCATTTCTGAAATCTATTTGATCACAAGTTTATCATATGTACAATATTTTCTACCATTTATAAATTATGTAAATGTAGGTTCATGTGCTACTGGAATGGATAAAAAGGTTCGAGGAAGTAACAAGTGCAAAGAAGTTGCATTGCTTGATATTGGACAAAAGCTAAAAGTGACATTTTACAATAATCGAACAGTTGGGAAGAATAGTAATCTATTTTCAAGGCACTTGGGAAAAATAGTTCGTGATCGTAATATATGTCCATTGGGAGTATCATCATGGAAACACATTAAGGAGGAAAAGCTAAATCACATGTGGGCTGTTGTTAAGGTAATTGGATTAAGTATTTCAATTTCTTCTTGGGCTACTCTCTTCTTAATACAATTCTTGTTGCTTAATTAGTGTGCTCCTTCATGTTTCAATTTGATACATTATAGGATAAATTTGATAGTGATGACATGAATAGTCATAGAGATCATGTTTTGGGATGGATGAAAGAGTTATGGAATAAATGGAGAGGTCAATTGCATGAAAAGTATGTGAAGGGTAAGCCTATCCAAGAGGCTCTTAAGAATATGCCTAAGGGGGTAGAAAAGAAGCAATGGGAGTGGTTGGTAAAAGAACATTTTACTTCAAAAGATTTGCAGGTTTGACATATTACCTAATTATGTAATTTGTTTCATACTATGATTTCATTTTGATAATTTATTTATAACATTTGAATTTAATGTTGTTACTCAAATATAGGCGAGAAGCAATAGAAACGCAATAAATAGAGCTAAGCTGAAAATGTTTCATCATATTGGTAGCAAGCCAATTAGAGAGATTATTTATCAAAAGGTGTTACCATCGAATCTTTTTCTGTCTTAATATTGATGAACCGTTCTTTGACATGTTTACTTTTATGTAAAGGGCGGAAAAGATGGCAATCCACCAGATTTGGCAACTATCTTTTACGAGACTCGCAAGAAGAATAACACACTAGTTGATTCTGAAACAATCGAGAAGCATGTGCGTTTGGTTAATTGAACATGTTCTTAACATTTAGTTATTATGGGATCTGAAAAAAAAATTCCTCTATACACTCTGTAGGCTCAAATTCAAGAATTGGTGGAGTCTGAACCATCACTTTCTAGCATAGAAATTGTTGAGAAATGCTTTGGACCTCAAAGTCGTAGTCATGTATGGCTTTGGAGGTGGAGTAAAAGCAACAGATTTGAAAGGTGGGACTTCCTCAAAAGCTGAATTGTTGGCTGAGCTACGTTCAACTCAAAAGGAAAACCAGTCTTTGAAGGATTGCGTGTCTAACTTTCAAAATGAGATGAAAGAACTGAAGCAATTGAAAGAATTTTTTTTAGCGCAACACCCTAATTATCAGCCTCCAATTCAAGAGAATGACTATTCGGATCCTTGATTATACCATGTGAGTAAAAACTTACCTGAAACATCAATTTATTGTTCTGGTTCTGCGTAGCAAAGCTATTAATTGCTGGTTGTTTTATCTTAAAATGTATTTGCACGTTTGATAAATTTTAGAATGATAAATAGTCTATAAATTTGGATCACTATTGAATAGTACTAACCTCATTCTAATGGAGAAAATATTGCGAAGAGCTCTGTCAATATCAGATTCTTCTAATTTTTGCTTCTTCAAAGCTAACTCGTGATAAAATTTTACAGAGAAAATTGACTTTTGGCTATTTAAGGATTTTCAAGTGATGATAACAAACTCATTTAGAACATGTAAGCTCTTCTTCCTCTCTTAACTTTAACTTTTTGACTAAGTTTTGTTCCTTGTAAATTTTCGTTTGCGATTACAATTTACTCGTCACAATATAAGTAATTCTTGATGTTTTACTGTACAATCGTCATAGCAACATTAAGCTGACTGGAAACTCAGACCATTTTATGACAATATGTTTCTAACTTGTGTAGTCATCGAGTACCTCATATGATGATATTAGTTTTTTGGTAAGTAAAATTTATTACCAAAGTGAACAGTCCAAAACAAAATCATCCAGGAGGCTTGGACAAGCAGCCCCAAGCTCTACCAAACATCACATTTTAGTAACTATCCATTCCACTCTCCCCATATCTCCTCTCATCTTCTTATAAACATTTCTAATAGAGTATTGATCCATAAGCAACAAAGTATGTTCATTTGAAACCTTAACATTCCCTGTCCACAGAAACCTTCTACAAATACCTTCTACATCTTGTCTATAAGAGGCTTGCATTGGGATATAGATATTCTTTTAGTACTCAAGGGTACCCCCAAGTATCTAAAAGGCAATTCTCCTTTGATAAACTGAAGCTATTGTAGTATTTGGTCTTGAACAGCCTGTTTGATTCCTCCAAAATACACACTGCTTTTATCTACATTTGCCACCAGTCCTGAAGCCTCTGAAAATTGCATAAAACATTTATGTAGATAGCTCACAGACTTTATATCTCCCCTGCAGAACATCAACAAGTCATCAGCAAAGCTAAGTTGGATGATTTTTTGTCTCTTACACCTAGGATGGTAATGGAACTCATGGTTAGTATGAAGGCTTCCCGGTCATTTCTGTGTCTTGCCTTCTATGTGTCGTTTAGAGCGTTCATGTAGCGACCCCAAGTCATTTATGACTTGCTGGGACTAACAGTTCAGTCACCTGGTCGTTCGTTTGGTCTTGGTGCGAGTTTTTGTGTTTTAGAGCTTATGAACCTTGAACGATCATTTTCGATCAAAAGTTCAAGAAGATGACATCGGAATCCAATTCTGATGATTCCATCAGCTCCGGAAGGGTCATTTTAGGCTAGTAGCATGGTCGACATGACTCTCGAGGTTTTCAGTGTGAGTCGGTGCGATTAGGCGTTTTAACTTTTAAGTTTAAGCCTAAGTTTGACTTTGGTCAACATTTTGAGTAAACGCGCTCGGATGAGAATTCCGTCAGTGCGGTTAGCTCTGGAATGTTGAGTTTGGTCTAGATTGACCCTCCTTTTGTGTCCCGAGGTTTTCGATATCTTTCCGAGCCCTTTTGTGGGTTTTGACTTAAAATGGCCTTTGGAAGTGGGACCCACTTTTTATCAAGATGACCTTTGGTGGAAAAATTGCATTTCCAACAACTAAAAACTCCGACGGGGTACTCCGATCTCGTTCGGAACCCCGTGCACGCAAACGAGGTATGCAACCATACCAAAATCGATACTCCGGACTCAACGGCGCAGTCAAAATTTCCACCAAAGGTCATCTTGATAAAAAGTGGGTCCCACTTCCAAAGGTCATTTTAAGTCAAAACCCACAAAAGGGCTCGGAAAGATATCGAAAACCTCGGGACACAAAAGGAGGGTCAATCTAGACCAAACTCAACATTCCAGAGCTAACCGCACTGACGGAATTCTCATCCGAGCGCGTTTACTCAAAATGTTGACCAAAGTCAAACTTAGGCTTAAACTTAAAGTTAAAACGCCTAATCGCACCGACTCACACTGAAAACCTCGGGAGTCATGTCGACCATGCTACTAGCCTAAAATGACCCTTCCGGAGCTGATGGAATCGTCAGAATTGGATTCCAATGTCATCTTCTTGAACTTTTGATCGAAAATGATCGTTCAAGGTTCATA